TATCTGGTAATTTGTTAAACTGATGACACAGTGAGTTTGTAACTTATATAGGCTATAATGTAGCCACATTTGCACCACATTGACAAAAAAACTCATCAATTAAATGGATGATTAGAAGTTCAAAGAAATAAAAGGTGCAAATTAATACAAATACAAATCCTCAGGCTGCAATGTGAGAAATTGTGTTGATGCCTGATTTACACCCATTAAAAGAGAAATTAGGTTCCATCCCTGATTTTTCTGTTTCATTGATTGAATTCGAAACTTTATTCTTTTTTAATTTTTGATCAAGGTTCTTTGATTTTTATCCACATCATTATTTCATTATCACATGTCAGCATGTTTAAATTTTATAATTAAAAAGTATTTAACCATTTCCAAATAGATATATGGCTCGTTTGGATGTGCTTTTAAAATGACTGAAAGTGTTTTTAGAGAAAATGTTTTTGGGTTCCAAAAGCACTTAAAGTGCTTTATGCAAGAAACACTAGTTATGTGCTTCTTCTAGAAAACACTTCGCGCTTTTCCAAGATTCACTTGTATCTTTACTAAAGATTGGTTCTAAAAAAAATTTCACCAAAAACACTTTCAATCATTTCAAAAGCACATCCAAACGAGCTCATATATAGTGTTAGAAACATTATATTTGATATATTTATATTTATGACTAAATCTTGTAAAATATATTTAATAAATTATATAATGTTCCCATATTTTATAATTAAATATACCTTTTTCTTAATTTAAATTATACCAATATTTAAAAATAAATATAAAACATTTTATTTCGAAAAAAAATAAAAAATCTGATCAGATTTCACACAATTTAAATTGGAGGAAAGAAAAATTCAAAATCCCTACTTGGTATCAACCTTCGCATGTAACAACCCGTCCCTAAATTTACGTTTTTATTTATTTTAATTGAGGAAATTGACGGAAATGCCCTAGGGGCAAAACGTAATTTATCAAGGATGTGTTTGATTCTCGTATATTCTGTCATGATTCTTGACATATGTGGATAGAGCTCGACTTCATGAACACATAGGCGCAAACCGTTTGTGAAACAGAGATATAATGAAAGAGTTATTAACGTTTAAAGTTAGGGAAAATATGGTAATTTGGTTGTTAATTTGGAATGCTCCAGATTTGTTGGAGCTTTGATTAGGAGCCACATGTGTGGCTAAGATTGAAAGCAAATAAGAGAAAGGAGATGAGGGGTAGGATCGGACCCAATCAGAAAATAGAGTAAGGAGGGGAAAGGAGAAAAGGAAAATGGAAGGGGATCAGATCCCTTTGAGGACCCGTGACCCCACCCAGTTCCTTCTCCCAACTTCGGCCACCTTTGACTGCGGGGTTGGTGTCAAAATGACCCTTACCTCAAGACCAATCGATCCTTTCCCTATTTTCCTTCAAAAACTTGATAAAATTTGGGAAATTTCGAAAGAAAACCATACTGGTATGGCACACAGGTTTCGCTTCAATTCTCCGTAATCTAAAGCTAACTCCGCCCATAACCACCACCACTACACTTCCCCCAACCTTAGGAACAAAGCCCAAACATTGGTTGGGGTGTCAGAGTTGCTTTAGAGTCTGTTGATGCACAAAACCGGAGGGTCTTGGAACAACAGAAATCAGACCGTGAATCTGCAAGAAAGTAAAGAACACAAGATGTATCGTGGTTCACCCCAATGTTTGGGCTACGTTCACACTGATGTTGATTGTATTCTCTGTATGAATGTATGAATTACAAGTGTGAGGGGGAGTCCCCTAGAGAAAGAGAGAGTTTGAGAGAGTTTCTTTGTGAGCTTTGTAGCTTATATGTTTTGGGGGTATCCCCTGGTCTGAGATCTGAGTCCCCTTTGTAAGGGGGGAGGAGTCCCCTTTTATAGAATAAGGGGCTCATCCTTTTACATAATTATGGGCTGGGTAATGAGGCCTAAATGCTGGGGCTCAATATGTCAAAGTCTGAGGCCCAATATGTGTGGTACCAACAGTAGTCCCCCAAGTCTTCAGTCAAGAGAGTCTTTTGGTTGGAGACTTGAAATTCAGTCTATGTGTGGGCCGAAGTAACTAGATGTCGTCTAGAACTGATACTCGATATGAGGCGGTGCTCAATGTGAAATGATGCTCAACTAGAAGTAACACATGTTGCGAGGCTGCTCGGCTTGTGGCTTATGTTGCCTTGGTTGGCTCAGCTTGTGGCGTTGAAGGTGAGGGAGTCCCTTTTATAGAATAAGGGCTCGCTCTTTAATACATAAATGATGGGCTAGAGTTGATGCTTGCGGCGAGGCGATTGCTCAGCAGGTGGCGATTCTCTCTAATGATGGTGAGGGAGTCCCTTTTATAGAATAAGGGCTCGCTCCTCAATACATAAGTGATGGGTTAGGAGCATGGTCTAAAATATCCATAATATCCCGATATTTCCATTGAAATTTTTGTGCTTTTAAACTACCGATATTTTTTTGGACTACCTATATTTTCGATATCATCGATATTTTAGACCTTGCTAAGTCACTCATGTATCTTACCATGTAATGTATAAAGTGTAAAATATTGTACTAATTCATTATATATAAATGATTATGGTGTGTTTAAATTTCTTTCATTAATTACTACATATTTCCTACACTCACAATGTTTGCCAGCTCGTTTTATAATCAACTTAAATCAGTTATATCTATCATGCAATGCATTTCCTTCCAATTTTTTTGTAATAAACTAATAGATAATTGACTAAATAAACATCCTGCAAAGTTTTAATAAAAATTTCCAAGTTTTTCTTACAATTTCTGTGGTTTTTATTCAATTTTTATCGATATCGATAATATCCCGATATTTCCATCGAAATTTCCGTGTTTTTGGACTACCGATATTTCCGATATCATCGATATTTTATACCTTGGTTAGGAGTGATGTTCGCGGCGAGGCGGTTGCTCAGCTGGCGGCGATACTCTTTAATGAAGGTGATGGAGTCCCTTTTTATAGAATAAGGGTTCACTCCTCAATACATAAGTGATGGGCTAGAGTTGATACTCGCGGCGAAGCGGTTGTTCAGCAGGCGACGATGATCTCTAATGATGGTGGTGGAGTCCATTTTATAGAATAAGGGTTCGCTCCTCAGTATATAAATAATTGGTGCTCTCTAATGAAAGTGAGGGAGTCCCTTTTATAGAATAAAGGTTCGCTCCTCAGTACATAAATAATGGGCTAAGTCCCCCCCAAGTATTTTTCATGAGGTCCAGTTGCGGAAGCCCAATATATCGTACATAGTGTAGTCCCCCAAGTCTTCAGTCAATAGAGTCTGTTGGCTGGAGACTTCAAATTCAATCCATGTATGGGCAGAAGTGGCAGTTGTTCGGAGACGGTCTTTGTATACCATGCACTGAAGCTTTGTAGGTGAAGCTTTGAAAGTGAAGTTTTGAAGCTGGAGCTTTTGTAAATGAAGCTTTGAAGTCGGAGCTTTGTAAATGAAGCTTTTGAAGTTGGAGCTCTTGTAAATGAAGCTTTCGAAGCTAGAGCTCTGTAAATGAAGCTTTCGAAGCTGATTGACATGAGTGATGCTCATGAATGTTTATGTTGATTGACATGAGTGATGCTCACAGATGTTGACATGAGTGATGCTTATGAATGTTGATATGAGTGATGCTCATGAATGTTGACATGAGTGATGCTCATGAATGTTTATGTATGATTGACATGAGTGTTCAGATATCATCTTATTAATGTTGGTCATGGTTGCGTGACTGGAAGAAGTACTTTTTTGATCACCTGGTTGGTGATAATAATAAGGCATGCGGTTTACTTGGAGTAACTACTGAATGTACTTTTGATCACCTGGTTGGTGTTAATAACGGAAGGCTGCCGAATAATTTTGGAGTACTGAATGTACTTTTGATCACCTGGTTGGTTAATAACGGAACCTGGTCAATAATTTTTGGAGTCTCTGGTCAGTACTGAAATTGATCACCTGGTTGGTGTTTTATAAGAAGGCTGCCGATAATTTTGGAGTTGGAAACCTTTTTATCACCTGTTGGCCTATGAGAATAGAGGTGCTCCGGTCAGAAGATCACCTATGACCAGTTATAATCAAGTATGGTGGGAATAAACTTTTTTAAATCTGAGTTGTCAATGGAATGTGAAGAATCTATTGAATATGAGAGTATAAGTGATGACAATAATGCCTTCATAATGAAAAGTTTGTCAAGGCAACAATATTGTACTGTGTGCCTTCTGAATAATATGAATATTTAATTTTTGTGTATAAATGACATTGCATAATATCAATTTATATTAGGTATTGCCTAAATGTGTGTTGTGTGTGTGTGTATATATAATCATGAATAAATGATTTATTCAGTTGTTTGATAAATGACATGCTGCATAAATCAACAATATATTAGGTATTGCCTAAAAGTGTAAGTTATTAGAATATATATATATATATATATATATATATATATATATATATATATATATATTTTATCCACAATGGGGATATCAAATGGTAGGCATTTTCACAATGGGGATATAATCATCACATAGTGTATTAACATATTAAATAAAAAAGATAAAGTTCTTATCTTTTGTAGAAGTTGGTGGTCGACATCCTATGCTATCATGCTCATGTCGCACACTACACTAAAGTACGTATATTCTTTGATAACCCACTCATCCATCGTGCCAAGCTTGTGAACAGCTGTGCGGCATTGGCATAGTTCCTTTGCGTCTACTGTCACTTATCCTTTTTACTCATTTCTTCCCTTTTTCTTTTTTCTGAAATATTCTTTCAACAACATCATGATATTTTTCTTTTTCTATTCTGTTCTTTTACCCTAATCTACTTCCTCCTCATTTTTTTTTTCATTTTCATTTTTTTTCTTTTTCTTTTCCAATCAAGTACCTGACAGCCTTCGTGAGTGTTTTCACCGGTGGATGGTAGGAAGCCTCTATAAAAGTTTTCTTTTTGGTTTTCACTTGGAACAGGTGACATCGACGTATTTCTATACGATTTTGAGGTCCTCCGCCATGGGAAGGAGATCTTCGCAAGACTTGAGCACGACAATGGCGCCGGAGAGGCTCATGAGAGCGACTTGAGATAAGAAATCTTCAGTGCGGTCAGTGAGGTTGTTGTTGCAGTACTTGTTGGTCATTTCCAAATACTCCGTCGCACAACGGAGGGCGGCGACGTTGTGGACTGTGATCTCGAAGTTGACGCCGTAGTAGAACTTGGTTGCCTTCTTGAACGTTTCCGGCCGACTTCCTCGCCGTAAATCCCAGTGGGGTCTATTGCGGAAAGCACAACGTCCACGGCCATCGGTGCGAGCAGAGTCGAGCACGACCACGACCACGGCCAGCTGAGACAGCATCAGCCCACACACTAGCGACTACGACCATGACATCACCGTCTGATTCCTCTCATTTTGCGACAGCGACGGCGTCATTTTGGTGGTAATGAAGATGGCAGGGGCCGGGGCGGGTGATCTCAAGTTTAGCACGTGCTCCTTCTCAATGCAATGATTTCAAAACATAAAAGGCGTAAGAGAGAACGTCGAAATCGCAAATGAAGCTTGCCCGTAATCTTCGCCGTGGCTGCAAACTTGAATTCTTCATCCTCATCGTCTTCGCTGCCGCTGTCATCGTTGGGTGCTTCCCAAGTTCCCACCTGGGTCCGAAACGAAGTAGTCAGGCTCAACGACCTGACCGAAAAAGTCCTCAGCTTTGAGTGCCTCTGAGTGCCATAGAACCTAAAGCTTCCACTCCTTGTACTACACGCTGCACAAAAATCCGGTTAGGCTGAGACACAATCTTAAACAAGTAATCATTGGCCCATTGGATTGCCACGAGAGCATTCCTCAGCTCATTGGGAGGCATTGAATCTCTAAACTCTATCACACTCCAAGCCATCATTGTTGTCGTGACCGTTATCGGAAAACCAAACTTGACATTATCACCGGCGTCGTAATAGCCGTCAGTCAAGCCTGTGTTGTATGTCCACCCGTTACTGAGTCCTGAGTTGGCACGCTATGATTGGCGCTGGTCCTGAGGTTTTGCCCCTCGAAGAATAGTATGGCCTTAGACAATGCTTCTTAGTAGTCATGGCTTGATGATGAAAAGCTTGGGAGCTCGATTAGGGCAACTAGGGTAAAACGGAAACAAGAAAATGAGGAAATGAGAGGGTTTTTTTTCCTAGTTTTAGAAACTGGGTTGGTTTTGTTTTGGTGAGTTTTTGTAGTGTCTGATAAATAGTTTGAGTTTTTTTTCTTCTGGTTTTTGGGTTGTGCAGATTCACGGTGAAGGTGAAAAAAATGAAGGAGAACCAACACAACTTTTCGTATCGTTTCCCACAGACGGCGCCAAATGTTGATGCACAAAATCGGAGGGTCTTGGAATAACAGAAATCCGACCGTGAATTTGCAAGAAAGTAAAGAACACAAAATGTATCGTGGTTCACCCTAATGTTTGGGCTACGTCCATACTGATATTGATTGCATTTCTCTGTATGAATGTATGGATTACAAGTGTGAGGGGGAGTCCCCCCAGAAAAAGAGAGAGTTTGAGATAATTTCTTTGTGAGCTTTGTGGCTTGTATGTTTTGGGGGTATCCCCTGGTCTAAAATCTGAGTCCCATTTGTGAGGGGGGAGAAGTCCCCTTTTATAGAATAAGGGGCTTCTCCTTTTACATAATTATGGGCTGGGTAATAAGGCCCAAATGCTGAGGCCCAATGTGTCAAAGTCTGAGGCCCAATATGTGTGGTACCACAGAGTCGAATCAAGAACATCCAAATTCAAGGGTTTCCGACGGGTCTTAGCGAAATTAGAGCCTTTCCTGAGAAAATTGGACTTGGTAACAAGTATAATGTTTGCTCTACTCTTTGAGATCTTCATTTCTGTAAAATTTGAGAATTTTTGGAAAAAAGTTAAATTTTCCGACGAGTCGGGACGGTGGACCGCCACCCACGGCGGTGCGTGGCCAAAGGGTCATCAATGCTATTTTTAGGATAAATTATATGCCTTGAGTTTAATTCTGATTATCGTATGACGTAGGTTGATTGTTGAAACCCAAATTCTATACGATACGTTAATATGTCATAATATGAATTGACGATCTGATCGTTGGATTGTCATCAAACTTTAATAGGTTATTATTCATAATATTTGAGGACCATAGGAACTTACAGATTGGGAATCCGATGCACAGATCTTCCCGAATTGGATTTGTAAGTTCGTAAAATAAAACGTTAACCGCCACTTGGTTTTGGCAATTGGCGAAGATCCGACCGTTGGATCGTTTCGAAACTTAGTATGTTATTTCAGAAGCATAATGTGGATATTTGAAAGTTACGTATCGGAAACCCGAGGTGCGGATCTTCCAGATCGAGTTATGTAGGGTTGTGGACCCTACCGTTGATCTTTGACCAACGGTTGACTTTTGGTCAATGGGTCTCAAATCATTCTAGAACGCCCTTGGGGATGTGTTTTATGTAAGTTAAATGTTCTATTGATAAGGATTCTGAGATGTGATTTGATAATTGTTCTAAGCGAGGATCGTTCGAGACATCTCGATATTCGTGCTAGGGAGTGTGGCGTGGACCTCAGGTGAGTGGGCTTTTGTTTTCTATATATACACGTATATATGCTTTACGTTTCCCAGAAACTGTTTTAAATGTAATTACGTTTTAAATGCCATGTCATACTTGCATTACATTTTAGTATATGCATTATTATAGCTATGCATAATATTGCATGATGCTGCGGAGGCTCAGTTAAGCTACATGTGAGTATATTGTGATGATAATGGTTTCATTGTGTATGATTATGCATGGATACATTTAGAGCTCATTATCCTGCACCCCGGTGTTAGTGCTCTTGCCTGTGATCAGGGCACAGTCCTTCACGTGATGTTCACCTCCAGCACTGCACGCTCACCTTGGATACAAGTTTGGTGGCACAACCCTGTCGTACAGACCATAATAGGTGGTTTCGACTCGTAGGTGACCAGCAATTATTCGCACAGCCTTCACGTGATTGTAGCATTTAAACGTATTTATTTACACCCAGCCATGTCGTACATACCATAATAGGTGATTCCGACTCGTGTGCAGGAATTGGTAGATAAGCTATAGGTTCAGCCGTACAGGTCACGTTAGGTGACTCCGGCTGACATATCATTTTACTTTGATTTACTATCACCTGGCTTACATTTTATATTTGTTAAGACACTTGACATGGCATACATTTTGGTTTCCACTACTTTTGAGCATGTTTTCTATATACGTATATATTATTATTTTTTGGGAACTTAAACGGGTTTTACAGTGAGGGGTTGGTATGTTCAAAAAGAGAAATGTGTTTTAAAAGCTTTGTTTTTGCCCACTCATATTTTCTGTTTTGCGCCCCTCCAGGTGATTTCAGTTGAACGTTTGTATATACGAGGATTCTAGGCGAATCTCAGTATAAGTGGCTACCTCTGAGGGTATAATCCTTATCCACTCTACTGTACTTTACTTATGCTCTGACGTCACGGGAGAGATGTGTCAATCTCGCTCACTAGTGCACTCTGTATTTAGGCACCTTTAGGTTTAAATTCATTCACATTTTCACATCACTACACTTTATAGCTTCGTCACTTTCCAAGTGTTGGCCAGCACAGCTCGATTCGAAGTCTTAGTAGACATTTCGGGTCGGGGTGTGTCATTGCATGATTTTATGAAGATTTAATAATTTTTGTTATTAAGTTTCTTAACTAATACTGAAATTTAAAATTTGGTCTTTCAATTAAAGTATTCAAATTAATAAAATTTCGATCTAAGATTTTTGTCAATCAAGGACCGAAACCAAAATTTCTCTTTTTAAGAGAGTAATCAAAACATGGTATTGCATTGAATAACATAAATCATATATCTGATTTTTTTTTAAATGTTTATTATATTTTAATAGGAAGCTTTATATATAGAGACAAAAACTTTTACTATATTTCAAGGAACTTCACTAGTTTTTAAACATATCAAGGACAGACAAAAATATAAAAACAATTAAAGCTCATCCCAAAAACATGGAGACAATGTTTTAAAATACCAGTTATACCCCTAAAGCTTTAGGGCTATTAATAGAATCTAGCCATCACAACTCCAAAAAAATTAATATGTGTCATAAGCTTAACCTATCATCAACTATTTCTATAGAATCAATTTTGAAATTATATGCAAAATTAGTTTGTATCCTTTATTACTAGAATTAGTTCAACCCATCTTCGACCATTTTTGCAGAATTAGTTCAACTTGTCTTCGACAATTAGTCCAACACATCATCAACCATTTTTGCAAAATTAGTTCAACCCGTCTTTGACAATTTTTGCAGAATCAGTTCAACCATTCTTTGACCATTTTTGCATAATCAGTTCAACCTGTTCTCGACCATTTTTTGCAGAATCAGTTCAATCCGTCTTCTACTATTTTTTGCAGAATCAGTTCAACCCAACCTCGACCATTTTTGTAGAATTAGTTCAACCCATCTGCGACCATTTTTGCATAATCAGTTTTAAATATATGTAGAGTCAATTTTATATAAATTTTAGTAAAACCAATTTGTGTAGTTTTTAGCAAAATCAATTTTAACCTAGAAAAGATATTTGAGTCTTCATTTTCTTTTTCTTTCACAAAGAGAACTGACCTTATTTATCATAAACACTCCATCATATACTGTTTCTATAAGAGAGGGAACATGCGGTTAGAAAAACTCCCCAACTTAAAGTCCCAATAGGCTCCAACAGGCTAAACTGATTTTCTTATCAGTAAATGTGTTCTTGAAATGCCTTTTGAGTATGCAATGGGAAGCAGTAAAAATGAGAATGAAATATTTAAACAGCTTCTCATTAAGTTGCTAACCTAAACTCTACATATCTATCCACTACTTTTCAATCACCATCTGCAACGTAATCAGATTCAACTTGGAATAAATCACCCGCAATGCAAATCAAAAATCAACATAGCATTTCACATCGCACTACATAAGCAAGTCAAACAACAACCAAATTAAAAAACTAAAAAAAATGAAACACACATCCACCTGTTCAAAACATCATACTCTAATTTCTGCACCAATCTGCACAAGTCTTTCTTATTGCTTGACAGTTTGTATTCATTTTTTTTTCTTCAGTAGGTGACCTTACATTCCATCTAAATTCTGATCCAATAAGACCAAGTCCTTCTTATTGCTTCACATTAGGTTGTTATTTTTGAGAAATTGGTGAGTCTGAACCCTGTGTAATCATAGGAGCACTATATATGTGGATGCAAATTTCTTTCTCCTTGATCTTGGACAAAATAGCACCTACACAACAATTAACACTTTAAGGTCAAGGCCAAGAGCCTCACGCGCCCACGATGAATGGGGGGTGCTTTGGCCGAAGAACCTCCAATGCCAAAGTTATAATTTAGAGAGAAAAGTCTTTAGAGAGTTTTTGGAGTTTTGCAAGAGTGTGGACTTAGATTTTTAGAGAAAATGGGGTTCAATATATATAGAGCATGGCCGGCCTTCTTGGGAGAGAGACTGGCCGGCCTTTTGGGTAATTTTGTAGTGTAATGGGTGATTTATTTGGCAATTAATGGATTAATTAGGTAATTAATCCATTAATTGGCCAATTAACTCAATTTATATGTAATGTTGTGAAGGTTATGTTGTGAAGGTTATGGGATAATTACCTTGTAAGGAATATAAGATGAGGATGGATGAAATAATTTTGAATTTGTTACATTTTTTGGGCACTTTTGACTTGATTGAGGGATGATTGTCCGCTGCTCGCGCGTAGGAAATCTGATGTGCCACAAGGGTAATTTTGTCCTTTTCACCCAAAAATCCACGTGTCGCCTTGTGATTATTTTTTGCTCCACAAGTGCCCCCACACC